CTTGTCAGTCCCCCTTCGTTTTACTGCTCCCTAGTCACTTACTGCAGGAAGCGCCGTCCACGGGGTGCAGTACATCCCACCCCTGCCACCAGTTGTCACGGAGTCCCTGGGCTATGCTCTGGAACTGCTCCCTATAAAGCCAGGCAGGACTCTGGGGAGGTCTCCTTTCTGGGAGCAGCCTGTCTTCAGGACACACAGCTCACCTGGCTTTCACCTTCCTGGGTCTGACCTCGGAGCATTCAGCATCCTCTGCCCCTCCGTGCGCTTCCCACAGCGAGTCCGGGACTCCTGGGGAAGCCAGAGGGTCCTGCCCCCCAACTTCGCAGACAGACGTGACTCTCAGCCAGCCAGTAAAACAGAAGGTTTATTAGACGACAGGAACATGGTCTAACACAGAGCTTGTAGGTGCAGAGAACAGGACCCCTCAGCTGGGTCCATTTTGGGGGGCAGTGAGCCAGACAACCACGTCTGCCCTTCACTCCATGTCCCAGCCAGCCCCAAACTGAAAAACCCCCTCCAGCCCCTCCTCCTCTGGGCTTTGTTCCTTTCCTGGGCCAGGAGGTCACCAGATTCCTTTGTTCTCCAACCCTTTAGCTCTCACCTTGCAGGGGGAAGGGCCCAGGCCATCAGTGGCCAGGAAACAGGGTGTCGGCCATCCTCTGTGTCCCGACCCCTGGACACACCTGCCCTCTAGGGATCTGCAACGATCATACCCCCTTATCCCACCCCCTAGATACTTAAGAACTGCCTAGGGGAAACTGAGGCACCCTCACAATCTTCAGAGGAAACATTAAGAACAGTCCCACTTCGTCACAACACGCTAACACACGTATGCCCGTCACCAGGGACGAGCTCGGTTCGCAGCGGGACTGTCTGCTGCCCCCTGGGCCAGCCAGAGACAGCCTCCCACTATCTCTCTGCTGGCCACCGGTACAATCACGCGGTGACTTACTGATCCGGCCCCTCCAAAACCTCCCCATCCCATGGCCCCGCCTCCAAGGAGGGGTCGGGGCATCCGCAGGCCGCCCGGGGCTGATGCTGTCTCTCTAGGATGGAGTCGGTCTCTGGCACATCTTGTTCCCGTGAGCACCGGGCCCTTTGCCATGTTCCCGGGCTGGACGGGGAACCGGCGAGCAGGCACGTTCCCTGACTTTGTCAGGGAAACTGAGGCATGCACAGTATTTGTACAAAATTGTCCGAAAATTCCCACTTTGTCGCTGGTTCGTAAACCGACTTCTGTTGACGTTGGCAGGCTCCCTCCTTGGACTGCGCCCCTGCATCAACCAAACCCCCCCCACACACACTAATTCTCCAGTGGAGCTGGGGGGCCGCGGGGTTGGTCCAAGCAGTCAATAAAGAGAGCTGGTTACTGAGAGCCTGAGTGGTCTTCATTGCTGGGCAAGGCTGGGGATTTGGGGGGTTAGGGTGTTGGGGGAGTAGGCAGGGAGCTGGGTGTTTGGGGGCAGGCAGGGGACTGGGGGTTTGGGGGGAAGGGTGTTGGGGCCCAGGCAGGGGGCTGGGGCCCAGGCAGGGGGCTGGGGGATGCAGAGGTCAGGCCATACCGCCAGATTGGGGGAGACAGGTTCTCAGGGGTTTCAAGGGTCCCCCTGGGTACCCCCCTCCCAGCCCCTTCTCCCTGCAACCCCCCACCCCCTCCCCCTAGCTGGTCCCCCCATTTTCCACCCCCCCCCCATGCCTGGCATGCTGTGAGCCCCCATTCCTACAGAAAACCTGCCCCAGAGCGAGAGATGCCAGGAGCCCCAGCTCGGCCGCTCCCCACAGGGCAGGTTGGGGGGGGCTGAGCCCAGCGCCAGGTCCCTATGGCGGGGGGACAAATCTGGGCCTATGGGCTCGGCCGCCCGGCAGAGGGAGGGAGGGCAGTGCTGCAGGCTGGAGCCAGCCTGGGAAGGAGCAGGTCAGGAGGGAGCAGGGGAGCTGGGGCAGAGAATTTGGGGCAGCCCCAGGCCAGGCTCTGCAGGTCCCAGGAGCTGGGCACACGGGACCTTCGGGGCTGAGAAACTGTGAGCTTGGGTTGTAGAACCCCTCCCCCGATCTCTATCCCCGTGTAGAGCCCCTCCCCCCTCCCCCAGTCTCTATCCCCGTGTAGAGCCCCTCCCCCTCCCCCGGTCTCTATCCCCATGTAGAGCCCCTCCCCCTTCCCCGATCTCTATCCCCGTGTAGAGCCCCTCCCCCTCCCCCGGTCTCTATCCCCATGTAGAGCCCCTCCCCCCTCCCCCAGTCTCTATCCCCATGTAGAGCCCCTCCCCCGGTCTCTATCCCCATGTAGAGCCCCTCCCCCTTCCCCGATCTCTATCCCCATGTAGAGCCCCTCCCCCGGTCTCTATCCCCATGTAGAGCCCCTCCCCCTCCCCCGATCTCTATCCCCATGTAGAGCCCCTCCCCCTTCCCCGATCTCTATCCCCGTGTAGAGCCCCTCCCCCTCCCCCGGTCTCTATCCCCATGTAGAGCCCCTCCCCCTCCCCCAGTCTCTATCCCCACGTAGAGCCCCCTCCCCGGTCTCTATCCCCATGTAGAGCCCCTCCCCCTTCCCCGATCTCTATCCCCATGTAGAGCCCCTCCCCCGGTCTCTATCCCCATGTAGAGCCCCTCCCCCTCCCCCGATCTCTATCCCCATGTAGAGCCCCTCCCCCTCCCCCGGTCTCTATCCCCATGTAGAGCCCCTCCCCCCTCCCCCAGTCTCTATCCCCACGTAGAGCCCCTCCCCCGGTCTCTATCCCCATGTAGAGCCCCTCCCCCTTCCCCGATCTCTATCCCCATGTAGAGCCCCTCCCCCGGTCTCTATCCCCATGTAGAGCCCCTCCCCCTCCCCCGATCTCTATCCCCATGTAGAGCCCCTCCCCCTTCCCCGATCTCTATCCCCGTGTAGAGCCCCTCCCCCCCCTCCCCCGGTCTCTATCCCCATGTAGAGCCCCTCCCCCTCCCCCAGTCTCTATCCCCACGTAGAGCCCCTCCCCGGTCTCTATCCCCATGTAGAGCCCCTCCCCCTTCCCCCGATCTCTATCCCCATGTAGAGCCCCTCCCCGGTCTCTATCCCCATGTAGAGCCCCTCCCCCTCCCCGATCTCTATCCCCATGTAGAGCCCCTCCCCCTTCCCCGATCTCTATCCCCGTGTAGAGCCCCTCCCCGGTCTCTATCCCCATGTAGAGCCCCTCCCCTTCCCCGATCTCTATCTGTGTAGAGCCCCTCCCCCTCCCCCGATCTCTATCCCCGTGTAGAGCCCCTCCCCCCTCCCCCAGTCTCTATCCCCGTGTAGAGCCCCTCCCCCTCCCCCGGTCTCTATCCCTGTGTAGAGTCCCTCACCCCCGCCCCGGTCTCTATCCCCATGTAGAGCCCACATCAGTCGCCCTGGCCTGCTATTCTGGATGCTGCATTTCTGAATCCCAACAATGAAGGGATTGCAGAAGGGGGGGGGAGGGCTGGGGCCTGGAACAGGATCTGCTTGGCCTGGCCCCATCACCATAGGAGCCCCCAGCACCAGCTGCTGAGCATGACGATGGGCGGGGGCGGGGGATTACTCCGATTTGGGGCAGGGGGAGGGGGTGAATGTTTGGGAACAGGGCTCCTGGGGGGCAGGCAGGGAGTCTGTGGAGGGGGAGACCTGGCACCGTGGGGGGGGGGGCATAGTGCCCATTTCTTTCCCCCAGCCAAACAATATTCAAGAGCCTCCGAATTAGTCCCTGAAAGGCTGAAAAATCCACAAATGGGGGGGAGCCTTGGCCTGTATGAATTATCAGCCCACAGGCCCCCTTTGCCCCCCACGGCTTCTGCCAGCCCAGAGCTGCCAGGGTCCTGCCCAGCCAGGGGGAGGGGGGTAACTAGTGACATCCAGGGGCCCCAACCCCAAGCCCCCCAGTTACCCGCCTGAGTTAGGGGCAGTTAGAGGGTAAGACCCTAGCAGCTGTGAGAGTCTCTGGGGGGTGTGTGTGTGTGTGTGGATGCTGGTTCGTGTGTGAAACGGGTGGGTTTGGTTTTGTGTGCGACTTGGTGGGGGGGGGTTAGTTGGGGTCCATCTCTCCCCTCCCCCCAGCTCCCCTCCCCTCCAGACTCTTCAGGGTTAATGCAGCCACTTGCTGCCCCCGTCTTTCCCCCCAGCGACTCCTCTTCCTCCCCAGCATCTCCCCCGCCTCTTCCCTACCAGAGCCCCCCCTTCCCCCCAGGGACTCCCCCCTCCCCCCGCACTCCCCCCCCCAGCGACTCCCCCCCTCTCCCCCCAGAGCCCCCTCATCCCCCCCCCCTTCCCCCCAGCGACTCCCCCGCCTCTTCCCACCCAGAGCCCCCGTCTCCCCCAGGGACCCCCCCCTCCCCCCCCCCCCCACCCCCCAGCGACTCCCCCCCTCTTCCCACCAGAGCCCCCCCCCGTCTTCCCCCCAGGGACTCCCCCCTTCCTCCCAGCAACTCCCCATCCCCCCAGCGACTCCCCCTGCCTCTTCCCTCCCAGAGCCCTCCTCTTCCCCCCAGGGACGCCCCCCACCTCTCCCTCCCAGCGCCCCCCCTCCCAATTTCTTTGCAGGGTCTTTAAGGTGGCTCTGCATTCAAAGCAACGGCCCCAAATTAACTGGGCCAGCGCCCCCCCCGCCGCCCCCATATTGTAAGGGGGGGCTGCAGTTACTGACCGTGTTCCCCCCCCCGCCAGCAGCCGCCACCTGCGCCCCCCTCCGCCCCTGCGACTGCGCCCCACTGACCTCTCGTGCCGGGGGGGGGGGCAGATCAGAGCCCAGCCCTTCGCAGACTCCAGCCCCCCCCTTGCCGGGCCAGCCCCCCCGCCCCCCCCGGAATGGCCAGGCTCCACCTCACGGGCGGTGATGTCATAGCAGGGTCCGCAGTCCCCGCAGCGGCAGCCGGGCTCCGCATCCCCAGCTTCGCCGCGGGGGGGGGGGAGGGACCCAGAGCCAGGATCGGGCCCCGCCAGCAGGATCCGGCCGCCTTCGCCCCCCTCCGCCCTGCTCTGCCCCCCCCCCCCCAGCACCCGCCGCGGCCCGGCCCAGCCCGCCCCCCCACACACAGACACACACCGGGAGGTGGTGGAGCCGCCCCCCAAAATATCGGGGGGCGGGCGTTGACTGACAAGTGAGTATCAGCTGGGGAGGGAGGGGGTGCGGGGGAGGGAGGACGCAGAGGGGTGCAGAGGCGATGGGGGGATGGAGGGAGATGGAGGTGTACCTGGGGGATGGGGGTGCATTGGGGGGATGGGGTGCAATCGGGGATGGGGGTGCAATGGGGGATGGGGGTGGATGACAGGTGTCTGCATGGAGGGAGGGGTGATGTCAGGAGCTCCTGGCTCGGCAGGCGCGGGGGGGGGGAGCCTGGCCTGGAGGCTGCACCCCCCCCCCGCAAGAATTGACTGAGTATCTCTGGATTCGGGAGTGGGGGGATCTCAGCCTTGGACAGATGGGGGGGGGGGTGCGTCAGGGTGTGTGTGTGTTGGAGGGTGTGTTTGTGTCGGGGGGTGTGTGAGTGTTGGTGTGTGGGTATGTGTGGGTGTCAGGGTGTGCGTTGGGTGTGTGGGTGTTGGGGTGTGTGTGTGTCAGGGTGTGTGTGTGTGTGTCGGGGTGTGTGTCAGTGTGTGTTTGTTGGGATGTGTGTGTCAGTGTGTGAATGTCTGGGGGGTGTATGTCGGGGTGTGTGTGTTGGGGTGTGTGTGTGTCTGTGTCGGGGTGTGTGTGTCTGGGTGTGTGTCAGGGTGTGTGTGTTGGGATGTGTGTGTCAGGGTGTGTGTCTGGGGGGTGTGTGTGTCAGGGTGTGTGTGTCGGGGTGTGTGTCGGGGTGTGTGTGTGTCAGGGTGTGTGTGTTGGGATGTGTGTGTCGGGGTGTGTGTGTCAGGGTGTGTGTGTTGGGATGTGTGTGTCGGGGTGTGTGTGTCAGGGTGTGTGTGTGTCAGGGTGTGTGTGTTGGGATGTGTGTGTCAGGGTGTGTGTCTGGGGTGTGTGTGTGTCAGGGTGTGTGTGTTGGGATGTGTGTGTCAGGGTGTGTGTCTGGGGGTGTGTGTGTCAGGGTGTGTGTGTGTCAGGGTGTGTGTGTCGGGGTGTGTGTATCGGGGGGGCTCTGGGAGGCTGATGATTTTAGACACAGAAGAGGACCCCCAAAGGAGAGAGAGGGGGTCAGCTCCCACCCAGTGACCACACACACGGCACGCACAACCACCAGCACACCCCAGCACACACACACACACACACGCGCACACACACACAGAGCCCACACACACACCGTGAACACACACACAGCCCACAGGCACACAGACAGCACACACACACCCACACACACACACACACACAGAGCCCACACACACACCGTGAACACACAGAGCCCACAGGCACACAGACAGCACACACAACCACACGCGCACACACCAGTGGACAAGCACACAGTGCAAACACACACACACAGAGCATGCACACGCCCACATGTACCCGCCAACACGCATACGACAAGCATGCCCGCACGCACACACACACGCACACACTCACACACACACTCACACATGCATGCACGCACGCACTCACACACTCACACACACACACACGCACACTCACACACACACTCACACACACACACAGAGTCAGCGAGTTCCTGGAGGCCTCCCCTGGGGTGTTCCCTGAGCAGGGCCTGTCCGGACCCCCGCAGCCTCTCAGCTCGGGGGCAGGGGGCAAACCCACACACTGGGGCAATTGAAAGCAGGGAGGGGGCAGAACGGGGGGACCTCTCTGTTCCAGCAATCTTAGGGATCACCCCCCAACCCCCCCCGCTGGAACTACTCCCAGCCCCGCTAGAATCCCCCCACATCCATCCCCCTGAACCCCCACCCCCAGCCCCACCCCCCACATCTTCCCCATATCCAACCCTCCCAGAACTACCCCCAGCCTCCCTAGAACCTCCCACACACCCAGCCCCACCCCCCACAACCCTTCCACATCCAACCCCCCCAGAACTGCCCCCAACCCTCCTGAGTCCCCCCCACATCCAGACCCCCTGACCTCCACACCCAGCCCCACTCCCCAAACCCCCCCCCAGAACTCCTCACATCCAGCCCCCTGGAATGCCCCCCACCAGAAAGCTTATACCCAGCCCCAGAGACCCTCTTTGGGGCACCCCCCCACCCCAATACCCCACACACCCAGCCCCCCCCTTGGCACACACCCCGTGTACCAGCCCCCCAGTCCCACCTCAGGATCTCCCCCAGTCCCAAAGCCCTCCTCTTCTACCCCCCACCTCCGGACCCCCCCCCCGCACTCAGGCATCCCATAGCCCCCCACAGTTCAGCTGCGGCAGGTTCTGGGTGCAGGGGGGGCTTCACTCCCCCCCCAATCTGCTGAGGCAGCTGTCCCGGCCCCCAGGCGCCCCCCCCCCTGTGCCTGTCCTTGCTGCCCTCACCTGAGGTGGGGGCAGGGGGAGATCAGGTCAGGGGGGCAGCTCAGCCATGGGGGGGAGTGGCATTGGGGGCAGCTCAGCAGCCTTGCTGGGGGGGGTCCCTGCGACCGCCATGAGGTTTTTATGCCTCGCTCCCAGTCGCCCCTGGAGTGGGGAGGGGGGACCCGCTAGCCTCAGTTACACAAGAGTCCCTGGGAAGGACGTGGGCGCAGGGGGGTGGGGGGGAGGCTGCAGAGAGTTTGCAGTGAAAGTTAGAGGGGGGGGAGGGCGAGGGAAGTAGCCCCCCCAGGTGAAAGCTGAGCGGGGGGGGGGATGACTGCAGGCTCCGGACCCCTCCCCGTTGAGTGCACAGCCACTGGGGGGGGGAGCAGAGATTGCAGCAACTTGTCCTGGGGGGGGAGTGCAGCGTCCCCCCATCCCAGTCCCCAGCCCCAAAGTCCCACCCCCAGCCCTGCCAGCCAGGATCCTGGGGGTCGAGGGAGATGGGACGGCTGGCCAGGTCCTAGCTGGGGGGCGCGAGCAGGGGAATGGCATCAGATACAGAGGCGGGGGGGGGGGGGCAGGAGCAGGGAGAGTTGGGGTGGGGGGGTCTGTTTGGGGGAAGGGTCCCTGATCTGAAACCCAAACACACCCAGGAAAGGAACAGAAAGAGAGAAAGTGCAGGGATGGAGGGAAAGGGAAAGGCTCAGAGGAGAAATAGAGGGGACAGGGATGGAGGGAATGGGAAAGACTCGGCGGAGGGATGGAGGGGATGGAGGGATGGAGGGAATGGGAAAGGCTTGGAGGAGAGCTAGAGGGGACGGAGGGAATGGAAAAAGCTCGGCGGAGGGATGGAGGGAACGGGAAAGGCTCGGCGGCGGGATGGAGGAAATGGGAAAGGCTCAGCTGAGGGATGGAGGGAAAGGGAAAGGCTCAGAGGAGGAATAGAGGGGACAGGGATGGAGGGAACGGGAAAGGCTCAGCGGGGGGATGGAGGGGATGGAGGGAACGGGAAAGGCTCAGCGGGGGGATGGAGGGATGGAGGGAACGGGAAAGGCTCGGCGGAGGGATGGAGGGAACGGGAAAGGCTCAGCGGAGGGCTGGAGCCCGCACTAACCTTGCCCCACTTCTCTCTCTCTCTCTCTCTCTCTCTCAGCGCCTGCTGCCTGCCGGCTTCTCTGCCTCTCTCCAAACTCCAGCCCCCGCCCCCCCCCGCACCCTCTCTCTCGTCCAGGATCCCGACCTCCCCCCACACACCTTGGTCCTGCCCCCCCCCCGCCGGGGCCAGTGGAGGCGGGCCTGCGATGACGCCTCCCCCGTGGAGCGCCCTGATTTGACCGCCCCCCCTCCCCCTCCCCCCCGCCGCGTGCCGGGGGGCGCGCCGTGCCCGCCCCCCCCAATGCTGAGCTCAGTGTGCGTCTCCTCCTTCCGCGGGCGCAAGCCGGGCAGCCAGGCGCCAGCCAAGTCATGCGCCAGGGGGGACATGGGCCGGCACGAGGACAGCGAGAAGATCGTGATTAACGTGGGGGGGGTGCGGCACGAAACCTACCGCAGCACCCTGCAGACCCTGCCCGGCACCCGCCTGGCCTGGCTCACCGAGCCCGACGCCTGCAGCAACTTCGACTACGACCCGGCCGCCGACGAGTTCTTCTTCGACCGCCACCCGCAGGTCTTCGCCTACGTCCTCAACTACTACCGCACGGGCAAGCTGCACTGCCCGGCCGACGTGTGCGGCCCGCTCTTCGAGGAGGAGCTGGCCTTCTGGGGCATCGACGAGACCGACGTGGAGGCCTGCTGCTGGATGAACTACCGCCAACACCGGGATGCCGAGGAGGCGCTGGACAGCTTCGAGGCCCCCGAGGCCCAGGAGGAGGAGGACGCCGCCGGGGACCTCAAGCGGCTCTGCCTGCAGGAGGACGGGCGCCAGGCTGGCTGGTGGCGCCGCTGGCAGCCCAAGGTCTGGGCGCTCTTTGAGGACCCGTACTCCTCCAAGATGGCCAGGGTAAGGGCGGGGGGGGGGGCCGGCAAGGGGACGGGGCTCGGCTCGGGGGCCAAGGCCAGCTTGAGTGGGCGCGGGGATCAGAGGGAGCGCGGGGTCGAGGCGAGTGTGCATGAGGGTTGGGCGAGGGGGGGCCGGGAGCATGCCGGAGCTCGCGTGCGCGTGCCGGGGGCAACGTAAGTGTGCGAGGGGATAGCGCGAGGGCCACTGTAGGTGTGCACTTGAATCGTGCAAGGGGCAGTTTCAGTGTGCAAGGGTATGGGTGCCACAGTCCATGTGAGTGCACGAGGGAATAGTGCACGCGTCTGTTTGAGTGTGCGAGGGTGTGTGCGCGCCAGGGTCCGTGTGTGGGAAGGAATAGTGCAGGGCTCCGCTTCAGTGGGCGAGGGTGTGTGCACCGGCACGAGTGTGAGTGTGTGATGGGATTGTGCAAGTGTCAATGTGAGTGTGTGAGGGTGCGTGTGCCCCGGTTAGCGAGAGAATGAGAAGGGATAGCATGAGGTCCATTGGAGTGTGCAAGGGCATGTGTGCCAGGGACTGTGTGAGTGTGTGAAGGGATAGCACAAGTGTCTGTTTCAGCGTGCAAGGGTGTGTGCACCAGCATTAGTGTGAGTGTGTGAGAAGACAGTGCAAGTGGCAGTGTGAGTGTGCAAAGGTAGGTATGCCAGGGTCAATGAGAGTGTAGGAGGGAATAGTGCAATGGTCAGTGTTAGTGTGCAAGGATGTGCACCAGGGTCAATGTAAGTGTGCAGCGGGGTAATGCAGTGGTCAGTGTGACTGTGCAAGGGTGCGCGCACCAAGGTCAACATAGCTGTGCAAGGGAATAGTGCAAAGGTCAGTGTGAGTGTGCACCTATGTGTGCACCAAAGTTAGTGTGAGTGTGAGAGAGCAGGGCAAGTGTCAGTGTGAGCATCTAAGTGTGTTCATGTCAAGGTCAGCACAAGTGTGCAATGCAGCTCATGCGAGGGTTCTTTCAAGTGTGCACAGATGAGTGTGCAAGGGGTGTGCCCGTGCAGGCATTGCGGTGTGTGAGTGTGCATGGGACACAGGGCATGAGAGGGGCTGGGTGTGTGCAAGGAAGGAGAGAGGTGAGTGTGTAAGAGAAGGCAGGGGTGGTGGCAAAGAACCAGGGGGCACCAGAGGGTGCTTGTGCAAAAAGGAAATAAAGTGAGCAAGTGTGGAAGGGACTGAGTGTGCAACTGGCAGCAGGCAAGGGCCTGAGGGGGTGCAAGTGGCATGGGGGGGGCTCCTAGGCTAATACCTGGGGTGAGGGTCTGGGATCTTTATGGGGGGACCCGACCCCCAGCAGGGGGTAACTTGCCCAGCCAGACCCCTTGGGGGGAGACAACGAGTTCTCTGGGGGGGTCAGTTTACGGCCCATCCCCCCCGCTTACCCCTTTTCCTGCGGCCCCAGCCCCCCTGCACCCCTGTCCCCCCCATACACGCAGCTGCCCCAGCTTCCCCTGCAGCCCTGTCCGACCCCGCACCCCCAGCACAGCCCTGTCCCGGCTCCCTGCACCCCCCAGCACTGCTCTGTCCTGGCCCCCCCTGCACCCCCCAGCACAGCCCTGTCCCGGCTCCCTGCACCCCCCAGTCCCGGCCCCCCCTGCACCCCCCCAGCAGAGCCCTGTCCCAGCCCCCCCTGCTCCCCCCAGCACAGCCCTATCCCAGCCCCCTGCACAGCCCGGGCCTGGCCCCCTGCACCCCTCAGCACAGCCCTGGCCCAGGCCCCCAATACCCCCCCCAGCACAGCCCTGTCCCAGCTCCCTGCACCCCGCAGTCCCGGCCCCCCCTGCACCCCCCAGCACAGCCCTGTCCCGGCCCCCCCTGCTCCCCCCAGCACAGCCCTGTCCCAGGCCCCTGCACAGCCCAGGCCTGGCCCCCTGCACCCCCCAGCACAGCCCTGGCCCAGGCCCCCCTGCACCCCCCAGCTCAGGATCACTTGGAGGACAGCGGCTGGCGCTGGCTCTGCACTGGGCTGGTTCTGCAGAGGCAGCGGGTCGGAGGGGGGGGCCGCACTGCAGTCTGCATCCAGCCCAGCTTGCCATGCCCCCCCCTCCATGATGCACCTCAGCCCCCCCCCACCCAGTGGTGCCCTGGTGCAGCCGGTTCTGCCAGATGCACAGAGTGACCCCCCCACTCCTTGCCCTGTCAGCTGCTGCTTCGGGGGGTGGGGGGGGAGAAAAGTTAGCTCCAAGGGACCCTGGGAGGGGGTAATGAAATGGGGGGCTCCCCACTGGGCCCCTCTCCTCTAGTGACTTGGTCCAAGGGCAAGGAGGGAGAGAGGGAGTGAGTGGCAGATGGACGGAGGGATGGGGAGGGGGAGGGGCAGATGAATGGACGGAGGGAGGGACAGATGGAGGGGCAGATGGACGGATGAATGGGGGGAGGGGCAGAGGTGAGGCTGGAGGGATAGAGGGGTGGGTGGACGGATGGACGGATAGAGGGGTGGATGGACGGAGGGACAGGTAGTGGGGCAGGTGGACGGATGAATGGGGGGAGGGGCAGAAGTGAGGCTGGAGGGATAGAGGGGTGGTTGGACGGATGGACAGATAGAGGGATGGATGGATGGAGGGACAGGTAGTGGGGCAGGTGGACGGATGAATGGATAGAGGGGCAGGCGGATGGACGGATAGCAGGGTGGATGCACAGGTAGCCGGGCAAGTGGAGAAATGATGGGTAGAGGGGTGGGTGGATGGAGGGAAATATAGCGGGGCAGATGGACAGATGGATGGGTAGAAAAACAAGTGAATGGAGGGACGGGTAGAGGGGTGGATGAATGGACGGGTAGAGGGGCAGGTGGATGGACGGATGGGTAGAGGGGCAGGTGGATGGACGGAGGGACAGGTAGAGAGGTGAGTGGATGGAGGGACAGGTAGCAGGGTGGGTGGACAGATGGACAGGTAGAGGAGTGGATGGATAGATGGAGGGACAGGTAAGGGGGTGGATGAATGGATGAGCAGAGGGGTGGATGGATGGATGGACACATAGAGGGGTGGATGGATGGACTGATGGGTAGAGGGGTGGATGGATAGACGCGTAGCGGGGAGGGATGAATGGACGGGCAGAGGAGTGGATGGGTGGACAGGTAGAGGGGTGGGTGGATGGATGGACAAATGGACGGGTAGCAGGGTGGGAGGACAGATGGATGGGTACAGGGGTGGGTGGATGGATGGACAGGTAGAGGGGCGGATGGATGGATGGATGGATTGGGGGGAAGTGGATGGATGGATGGATGGATGGATGGATGGATGGATGGATGGATGGGCAGGTAGCCAGGCTGGTGGACAAAGGGACGGGTAGAAGGGTGGATGGACAGGTAGAGGGGTGGATGGATGGATGGTTGGATAGCAGGGCGGGGGGACAGATGGACAGGTAGAGGAGTGGATGGACAGATGGAGGGACAGGTAGAGGGGTGGATGGATGGATGGATGGGTAGAGGGGTGGATGGATGGACGGGTAGAGGGGCGGGTGGACGGATGGATGGATGGGGGGAAGTAGAGGGATGGATGGATAGAGGGGTGGGTGAGTGGATGGATGGATGGATGAATGGACAGGTAGCCAGGCTGGTGGACGGAGGGATGGGTAGAAGGGTGGATGGACAGGTAGAGGGGTGGGTGGATGGATGGATGGATGGATGGATAGCAGGGCGGGTGGACAGATTGGACAGATGGATGGGTGCGGGAAAGTGAATGGATGGATGGATAGAAGGGTGGGTGGACTGGTTGAGGGGCAGGTGGATGTATGGATGGATAGAGGGGTGGTTGGATGGATGGACTGATGGATGGATGGATAGCCAGACAGGTGGGACAGATGGATGGGTAGAAGGGGGGATGGAGGTATGGAGGGGTGGGTAGTGGGGCGGATGGGTAGATAGAGGGGCAGGAGGATGGATGGGTGGATGGATAGAAGGGCAGATGGGTGGGTAGAAGGGCGGATGGATGGACAGGTAGCTGGATGGATGGACGGGTAGAGGGGCGGATTGACGGATGGACAGGTAGAAGAGCGGATGGGTGGGTAGTGGGGCAGCTAGCTGGATGGATGGATGGATGGATGGATAGAAGGGTGGACAGAAGGATGGGTAGAAGAGCGGATGGGTGGGTAGAGGGGCAGGTGGATGGATGGATGGATGGATGGATAGTGGGGCAGGTAGCTGGATGGATGAATGGATGGATGGATGGATGGATGGATGGATGGATAGGAGGGTGGATGGATGGACGGGTAGAAGGGTGGATGGATGGATGGATGGATGGATGGGTAGAAGGGTGGACAGAGGGATGGGTAGCAGGGTGGGTGGACAGAAGGATGGGTAGAAGAGCAGATGGGTGGGTAGAGGGGCAGGTGGATGGATGGATGGATGGATGGATGGATAGTGGGGCAGGTAGCTGGATGGATGGATGGATGGATGGATGGATAGGAGGGTGGATGGATGGATGGGTAGAAGGGTGGACAGAGGGATGGGTAGCAGGGTGGGTGGACAGAAGGATGGGTAGAAGGGCGGATGGGTGGGTACAGAGGCAGGCAGATGGATGGATGGGTGGGTGGGTGGGTGGGTGGATGGATGGATGGATGGACAGGTCGTGGGGTTGGTGTCACACACGGACACACATGGACCAAGATAGACAGGGATGGACATGGCCACACAGGCACACACAGACACACATGGACGGAGATGGACACGTATCGACATGGATGGACACGGACACACAGAGACACACACGGATGAACACGGACCGATATGAAAATGGACTGACAGACAGAGATGGATACATACGGACACAGACACACATGGGCACACACGGATAGACACGGACACGCACCCACACGCACCCACACACAGAGGGTCACAGACAAACGGCCCCACGGATGGACACACACACGCATGTGGACACAGACACAGACACACACGCTCACGGGAACACACTTGTGCGCACACACACACACACGCACACACTAGCCACAGCCCCCCTTGCAAGGGAAGAAGACTGCCGTGGGGGGAGGGGTGCAGGGGGGAGCCGGGACACAGCACAGTGGGAGGACTGGAGGCTGGTATGGGGGGCAGTGGGGGGCTCAGGGACGCTGGGGAGCAGCGGGGGGCTGGGACGGGTCGCAGTGAGGGGCTCGGGGGGGCTGGGGAGCAGTGGGGGGCTCAGGGAGCAGGCGGGGCTGGGACGGGGCGCAGTGGGGGGCTCTTTGAGATCCACCCAGATAAACTCCCGGGTGGGGCAGCGTGATACACACCCCGCCCCCCCCTCCGTGCTGGGGGCCGGGGCTCTAGGGCTGTTGGGTTTATTTATAGACGTCGCCCCCCCCCCCCACCACCACGCGGGCCGCCCTGACCCACGGGGGGGGGGAGGAGCTGGTCGCCCACCAGGGGGCGCTGGACCGGCCCGCAGCGCAGCTCGCGCTGCTGCAGCGAATCCCGCAAACTCGGCACAATCCGCTCACCGCAGCCCCCCCCCCCGTGTGCCCCCCCCTCCGGACCCGCAGCCCCGCGGCTCCCCCCCGCAACACCCCGTGTGGCGTCCCCCCCGCGACTCCCCGACCCCGAAGTCCGTCCGCACCCCCTGCGTGTGCCCCTCCGTCCCGCAGCCACCCCCCCCGTGTGTGTGTTTATCCCGGCCCGTGCCCCCCCACCCGCGACCCCCCCGGCCCGTGTGTCCCCCCCGAAGCTTCCCGGCCACGTGTGTCCCACCCCGGGCCCCACCCCGCGGCCCGGTTCCGCCTGATCCTAGCACCCTCTGCTTACCTGGGGGGGGAGCAGCCGCGGAGCCGGTGACTCCCCCTCCCCCCTGTGGGTTCGGACCATCTCCCCAATTAACAGAGCTGGGAGCCAGGACTCCTGGGTTCTGCCTTGGCTCCGGGTGCGGGGAGGGTCCGGTGGGTTAGAGCAGCGGGGGATGGGGCTTGGAACCAGAACGCCTGGGTTCTTTCCCAGCTCTGTTTGGTGTCTCCCCTCTATTAAGCAGAAATACTGGGGCTCATTCAGTCCCGAGGAGGGGGGGGCTGAGGGTTGCCCCTCCCACTGGAAATCTGGGGGGGCTCCATGTTTCCCCACAACCCCCCCCCCCACATGTGCAAATGCTCCCACTGCCCAGGGTGACCTCTGGGTATAAATGGGGCCATTGGAAAATGTGGGGGGGGGATCCAGGATTCTGGGGTCTTTCCCTCTCGGGGGCGCTGGCTCCCATCCGGCAGGGCAGGGACTGGCTGGCTCAGGGGCTGGGGCACAGGGCAGGGGGGATCCCAGTCTTGCTGGGGGTCTCCCCTCTCCGGGAGGGGAGGTGTTTCAGATTTCTAGAACAGGGCGACTAACAATCCTTTGTGTTTGCCCCCCATCCTCTCCCCCCACCCTCCTCCCCGGCCGCCCCTTGCCCCTCCCCCACCCCCTCTCCAGTACGTGGCCTTCGCCTCCCTCTTCTTCATCCTCCTCTCCATCACCACCTTCTGCCTGGAGACACACGAGGCCTTCAACCGCGTCATCAACAAGACGGAGACGGTGGCGGTGGCCAACGGGACGGCCACCCAGGTGGCGGTGGAGGTGGAGACGGAGCCGTTCCTCACCTACGTGGAGGGGGCCTGCGTGATCTGGTTCACCTTCGAGTTCCTCATGCGGGTCTGCTTCTGCCCGGACAAGCTGGAGTTCGTCAAGAGCAGCCTCAACATCATCGATTTTGTGGCCATCCTGCCCTTCTACCTGGAGGTGGGCTTGCGGGGCCTCTCCTCCAAGGCGGCCAAGGACGTGCTGGGCTTCCTCCGGGTGGTGCGTTTCGTGCGGATCCTGCGGATCTTCAAGCTGACCCGGCACTTCGTGGGGCTGCGGGTGCTGGGCCACACGCTCCGGGCCAGCACCAATGAGTTCCTGCTGCTCATCATCTTCCTGGCCTTGGGCGTCTTGATCTTCGCCACCATGATCTACTACGCCGAGCGCATCGGGGCCGACCCGGACGACATCACGGGCAGCAAGCACACCGACTTCAAGAACATCCCCATCGGGTTCTGGTGGGCCGTGGTGACCATGACCACCCTGGGCTACGGAGACATGTACCCCATGACCTGGTCGGGCATGCTGGTGGGGGCGCTGTGCGCCCTGGCCGGGGTGCTGACCATCGCCATGCCCGTGCCCGTCATCGTCAACAACTTCGGCATGTATTACTCCCTGGCCATGGCCAAGCAGAAGCTGCCCAAGAAGAAGAACAAGCACATCCCCCGGGCGCCCCAGCCCGGCTCGCCCAACTACTGCAAGCCCGAGGGAGCCCCCGGCCCCCGGCCAGGCCCCCCCACCGCCGACGCCTGCCCCCTGGCCCAGGAGGAGATCATCGAGATCAACCGGGCAGGTAGGGAGCCCTGCCCCACGGGGAGCCCTGCCCCGCGCCCTTCCCAATGGCGAGCCCTGCCCCGAGGTGAGCCCAGCCCCGTGCCCTGCCCCGCGGGGATCCCAGCCTCATGGGATCCCACCTTTACTCCACCCCCTGCCCCATGGGGATTCCATCCCCACACCGTGCCCCACGGCAATCCCAGCCCCACACCCTGCCCCACAAGACTCCCAGCCCCACAGCGCTCCTCGTCCAGGTGGCTATAACTACCCTGGCCCTTGGCCGAGCTCCCCCGGCCCTGGGCTCCCGCTGCTCGGGCAGGGGGCCGGACTCTGGCCACAGCAGAACCTCCCTGGGGTGCTGCTGCCGATTGGTGTAGGGCTGCTAGCCCCACTCCACACCCCCCGGGGATCCCAGCCCCACACCCTGCCCCAGCCTCACATCCGGCACCCGCCAGCCCCATGGGGCCCAGCCCTAAACCACTGCAGGGCTCCGACCTGCTGTTACAGCCCCAGCTTTGGAACATCCTCTGCGAGGCCCCGGTTAGGGGGCCAGATCCCACCCCCCAGGTGTCACGCTCCAGCCAGAGTCAGCCCCACGGCTTCTCCCCCCCTTAATAGGCTGGGCTCCTGGGCCTGCAGCTCCCGTGAGCTCCAGGCAATGAGTCGCCCAGCCCCACGGAATCCCTGCCACACACCACACCCTGCCCCATGGTGATGCCAGCCCTACACCACACCCTGCCCCACAGGATCCCTGCCCCATGGGATCCCAGCCCCACACAACACCTGCCCAATGGTGATCTCAGCTCCATGGTGATGCCAGTCCCACACCACACCCTGCCCCATGGTGATCCCAGTTCCATGGGATCCCAGCACCACACCACAGCATGCCCCACAGAATCCCTGCCCCAGTCTTTCTGCCCAAGCTGGGGAGATGCGCCTTAGCCCCCTGAGGTGAGGCGGGGAAGCCCATCTCCCTCCGGATCTGCCCTCGTCTTCTCCGGTGCTCTGAGCCAGCTGACAGCCCCAGTGCCCGCTGCCCCTTCCACCCCCCAACATGCCAGGGAAACTGAGGCACGCATAGGGTTCAATTCCCACTTTGTCATGCCCCCACCCTGCCCCATCCTGAATGCAGCTGGGGGGCACCAGCCCCTCCCCAGTCACCCCCCCCCCACTGCCCATGATAGCGCAGCATCTTCCCCAGCTCCCCTTGGACAGCTCCGATTCTGCCCCACAGACCAGACCTCAGTGGGACTTGGACCCTCCCCCCATGTAGAGTGAATCCAGGGCTCCCCCTAGGCTGGGAGAGCCAGGGGCTGTGGGTCAGGAGTGAGGGGCACCAACAGGACTGGGGAGGGCAAGGCTGGGCTAGCAGGGGGCTGTGCCAGGTGTGTGCGCCGTGCCGGGTGTGCACAGGGGTGTGTGCTGTTCCAGGTGTGTGTGCGGAGATGGGTGTTCACAGGGGTGTGCATGGCGATGGGTGTGCACAGGATGTGCACTGTGCCAGGCGTGCGTGCGGCGATGGGTGTGCACAGGTGTGTGTGCGGTGATGGGTGTGCAAGACGTGTGTGCAGTGATGGGTGTGCTTAGGGGTGTGTGTTGCAATGGGTGTGCACAGGGGTGTGTGCTGTTCCAGGTGTGTGTGTGGAGATGGATGTGCACAGACGTGTGCATGGCGATGGGTGTGCACAGGTTGTGCACTGTTCCAGGCATGTGTGGGGCGATGGGTGTGCACAGGGGGTGTGTGCAGTGATGGGTGTGCTTGGGGGGTGTTGCAATGGGTGTGCACAGGGGTGTGTGCTGTGCCAGGTGTGTACAGGCATGTGCACAGTGATTAGGTATGCACAGGGGTGTGCATGGTAATGGGTGTGCACAAGGGTGTGTGCAGCAATGGGTGTGCACAGGTGCGTGCGTGGTGATGGGTGTGCACAGGCGTGTGCGTGGTGATGGGTGTGCACAGGGGTGTGTGCTGTTCCACGTGTGTGTGTGGTGATGGGTGTGCAGAGGGGGCGTGCACGGTGATGGGTGTGTACAGGCGTGTGTGCGGCGATGGATGTGCACAGGGGTGTGTGCTGTTCCAGGGGCATGCGTGGCGATGGGTGTGCACAGGGGCGTGCACGGCGATGGGTGTGCACAGGGGTGTGTGCTGTTCCAGGGGCGTGCGTGGTGATGGGTGTGCACGGGGCGTGCATGGCGATGGGTGTGCACGGGGCGTGCGTGGCGATGGGTGTGCACAGGCGTGTGCATGGTGATGGGTGTGCACAGGGGCGTGCGCGGCGATGGGTGTGCACAGGGGTGTGTGCTGTTCCACGTGTGTGTGCGGTGATGGGTGTGCAGAGGGGTGTGCACGGTGATGGGTGTGTACAGGCGTGTGTGCGGCGATGGGTGTGCGCAGGGGTGTGTGCTGTTCCAGGGGCGTGCGTGGCGATGGGTGTGCAGAGGGGCGTGCGTGGCGATGGGTGTGCACAGGGGCGTGCGTGGCAATGGGTGTGCACAGGGGCGTGCGGCACGTGTCGTCTGTTATGCGGGTGCCGAGGGTCCGGGTGACGTGGCCGCATGGGGCGATGGCTCTGGCCCGGTGGGGGCCCGGTGGGGGTTCTGCACTCGCGGTGCCGTGTGTGGAGGGGGGGGTTGTCAGCGCTGGGGGGGGCCTCGGCTTTCACACCTGCAGCAGCCCGTTCCCACAATGCTCTGGGGCAGGAGCATATGGGCCCGCTGAGGACTTGAGGGGGAGGGGGGACAAGAGCAGATGGTGCCACATGGGCTGGTCACATACAGCAACCCCCCCTCCTGCTGGGACCCTGGGGGGGCTGGGAGCCAGGACTCCTGGGTTCTCTTCCCAGCTCTGGGACGGGAGCGGGGCCTGGTGGTTAGAGCCGGGGGGGGCTGGGAGCCAGGACTCCTGGGTTCTCTCCGCAGCAATGAGAGGGGAGCGGGGCCTGGTGGTTAGAGCCGGGGGGGCTGGGAGCCAGGACTCCTGGGTTCTCTCCGCAGCAATGAGAGGGGAGCGGGGCCTGGTGGTTAGAGCCGGGGGGGCTGGGAGCCAGGACTCCTGGGTTCTCTCCGCAGCAATGAGAGGGGAGCGGGGCCTGGTGGTTAGAGCCGGGGGGGGCTGGGAGCCAGGACTCCTGGGTTCTCTCCGCAGCAATGAGAGGGGAGCGGGGCCTGGTGGTTAGAGCCGGGGGGCTGGGAGCCAGGACTCCTGGGTTCTCTCCGCAGCAATGAGAGGGGAGCGGGGCCTGGTGGTTAGAGCCGGGGGGGCTGGGAGCCAGGACTCCTGGGTTCTGCCCCGGGGCGGGGTCTCGGCTCCCCTGACCCGGGCTGTGTCGCTGGCAGACTCCAAGCAGAACGGGGACGCGGCAAAGGCGGCGCTCGCCCACGAGGACTGTCCCACCATCGACCAGGCCCTGTCCCCCGAGGAGAAGTCGCCCGCCACCCCCGCTTACAGCCACGACCGCGCCTGCTTCCTGCTGACGGCCGGCGAGTTCGGGCCGGCGCCCGACGGCAACCTCCGCAAAGGTGACCCCCCGCCCGGCCCCCAGCGGCCCCCCCCAGCTCCCAACAGCCCCCTGGGCAGCCCCCCCCCAGCTCCCGGCAGCCCCCTGCCCGATCAGCAGACCCACCCAGCCCCCAGCAGCCCCCTGGGCAGCCCCCCCGCCCGACCTGCAGCCCCCACCCAGCCCCCAACAGCCCCCCCTACCTGACCTGCAGCCCCCACCCAGCCCCCAACAGCCCCCCCTGCCTGACCTGCAGCCCCTGCCCAGCTGCCAACAGCCCCCTGGGTAGCCCCCTTCCCGCTTGACCTGCAGCCCCTCCCAGCCCCCAACAGCCCCCTGGGCAGCCCCCGCACCCGACTTGCAGCCCCCCACCTGACCACCCCCAGCTCAACTCCTGCGCACATCCACCGCTCCAGTGACCCCCTGCCCCTCTCGCCACCCCACTGAGCTCTGCTCCCCCACCCCCTTCAAGCCCCTTGTGACCGGCTTCCGTGGGGTACCCCCGAGCCCTCCGCCGAGCCCCCCCCCGGGCTGCTGTGACAAGCTGCTGCATGTCCACCAAGGCTCCTCCCCAGCCCCCCAGCCTGGGACCCCAGAGCGGTACCGGCTTGCCCCGGTCAAGGCCCGGCTGGGGTCAGTCTACAGAGGACGAGGCACCCGACTTCCCCAGCACCTCGACCCCCAAACCTGCGGGCTTTAGGTCCAATAGAAACCAGATTTATGACCTGCCGACAGACCGATGTTCGGGGGGGGGGGAAGTAGCGAGCGTCCCCCTCACCTGCGAAAGCTGGGCTGTATAAACTCGGTCCGATTTGAATCCAGCCGGTCTCTTGCCCCGGGGTGGGGTTCGCCTGGGACCCCATCTCCCCTTCCCCAGGTCAGTCCAGCAGATGGAGACTTTTAAGATGACCCCTCACCAGGGATACTCTGTGCCATCATGGTGACTGGGGGGGACGGGACAGGGGGTTGCTTTGGGGCACAGAATGTCACACCCATGAACCCCAAGTGCCCCTTGACACCCCCCACCTACACCCCACCAACCCTCCCCTCCCCCAGTGACCCCCCCCAGCATAGGCACTCCCCTCCCCCATCCAATGGGACCCCCCCACAGCATGGAGGGCCCCCATCACCCTCACCCTGCCCCCCACCTACTCCCCCACACTGAGACACCCCCCCAGCCCCTCTGCTTTCCCATCCCAGCCCATGGTAAGGATAGCCCCCTCATCTTGCCCCACTCCCTCCCCATAGCACAGAGACCCCCCCATCCTCTCATCACCCCCCCGACATGAAGACCCCCCCCTTCCTCTGAGCAGGCAGCAAGGACTGATCCCCCGGGATTTGCACTGGGGTCTAATGCCGCACCCCAATCACTGCCCACTTAGGAGCAGCTGCTGGGTCCTGTGGGAGGGGGGCAGACCATGGTGCCATCTGGGTGGGCCCAGATAGGGAGTGACAGCCCTGCCCAGGAGGTGGGGGGCTGAGGAAAGGGGGAGCCCAGGCCCCTCCGTCCAGACAAGGGCTTGGGGGGGCATTTGAACCCCACCCGTGGGCTCAGGCCCCTTCGAACCCCACCTCTAAGAGGGGATCCAGGGCTAATGAGGGGGCTCAGAGCCCCCCCCCGGTCTATAAATCCATTGAGCCCCTCCCCCCACATCCTCCCCCCACTAGGCACCAAGGAGCAGGTGAGTCGTGGTATGGGGCAGGCACTGGGGGGGGGGGCAGCAGGGGATGGATGCAGTGTATAATGCAGTGGGGGCAGGTGCAGCAGGGCTGTGTGCAGTGGGGGTGCAGTGGGCAGATGGCTCTGTGGGGGGGGAGTGATGGGGGTGTACTAGGCGGTACAGTGGGAGGAAGGGTCAGTGGGGGAGCCATGGGGCGGGCAGAAGGTGGTGGTGCAGTGTGGACTGCAGTGGGAGAATGATGCGGTGGGGGGTGGCGCAGTGTGGGGAAGGTGCAATGGGGAGAGCCGGGGGTGGGTGCAGGAGGAGACAGTGTAGTGGAGGGAAGGTGCAGTGAGCAATGGTGCAGTGGGGAGCCCTAGGGAGGTGCAGTGCGGGGAAGATGCATTGAGGATGGTGTGGGGAGATGGTGAAGCGGCGGTGCGGGGGGAGATGATGAGAGGATGGTGGGGGGAAGGTGCAGGGGGGGTGAAGCATGGGGGTGCAGTGGGGGGATGGTGCAGGGAGGATGGTGGGGTGCAGGAGGAGATGGTGCCATCAGAGGTAAGTGCAGTGAGTGTTTGTGCTGTGGCGGGATGGTGCAGTGAGAATGTTTGGGGGGGGAGGTGCAGTGGGGGTGCAGTGTGCAGAAGATGCAGTGGGGGGGTGTCACGGAGTCCCCGGGCGATGCTCTGGATCTGCTCCCCATGAAGCCAGGCAGGACTCTGGGGCAGTCGCCTTCCTGTGAGCAGCCTGTCTGCAGGACACACAGCTCCCCTGGCTCCACCTTCCTGGGTCTGACCTCGGAGCATTCAGCCTCCTCTGCCCCTCCGTGCGCTTCCCACAGCGAGTCCGCCCAGGCGGGGTCCTGGGGGGGCCAGAGGGTCCTGCCCCCCAACTCCGCAGTCAGACGGGACTCTCAGCCAGCCAGTAAAACAAGGTTTATTAGACGACAGGAACATGGTCTAACACAGAGCTTGCAGGTGCAGAGAACGGGACCCCTCAGCCGGGTCCATTTTGGGGGGCAGTGAGCCAGACAACCACATCTGCCCTTCACTCCACGTCCCCAGCCAGCCCCAAACTGAAACTCCCTCCAGCCCCCCCTCCTCTGGGCTTTGTCCCTTTCCTGGGCCAGGAGGTCACCGGATTCCTTTGTTCTCTAGCCCTTCAGCTCTCACCTTGCAGGGGGGAAGGGCCCAGGCCCTCAGTTGCCAGGAAACAGGGTGTCGGCCATTCTCTGTGTCCAGACCCCTGCACACACCTGCCCTCTATGGCTCTGCAGGGATCATACACCCTTACCCCAATACCCAGACACTCAAGAACTGTATAGGGGAAACTGAGGCACTCCCACACTATTCAGAGGAAACATTAAGAACAGTCCCACTTCATCACATCTCTCCCCCCTTCGAGATCGAACTAAGCGGGGTCACTTTAGCCTGTGACCTGCGGAAGTTGGAAGCCACCAACGTTCCCATGGATGCCCCATCATCTCTCCCGTTCCTTGGTAGGAGTTACACCAGGCCCTTCCAGTTTCACGCCCTCCCTTAAGTTGGGGGTGGTCGATAGCACTCGCAGGCCGTATGTGAGAAGGTTTATGCGGCCCGTGTCCTTTGGCTACCCCAAAACCCCAGGGGGTCAAACTGGGATTGGGTCTTCTCCCCACTTGGTTATGGGACTGTTTAACAGCTTTCACTTCATCTGAGACCTTCTCAAAGCTCTCCACACTGGGTCTTTCAACAGGACAGTCAGTGGATCCATTCACAACAGAAAATTTCTGGCTGTTAGGAACTGAAACTTTCTTGATTAAATCACTTTCACACCCTTCAGTTGCAGTAAACTGCTTGCAAAGACTCCCTGAGGTTCCTTTCCCTAGGGCTTTTCTATGCAACAATTCACCCCTCCCAGAAATTCTGCCCTTACCCTCTTCACCGAGGGCTTGCTCTAGAGGAACACTTTCCTGAGCAACAACAGACTCTTTCTGGGACTCCCTTACATCCAGAATCACCTCTGGCCCATCAGGCGGATTCCTACACAATCCCCTTTCAGGCAAACTTACAGACTTCCTAGAGAAAAGGTCAGAAGCCTTCTCCTCCCTTTGCCACACACAAGTTCAGGAATCTTTTCCTTCTTGCTACAGGTTTCCACACCCTCAGTAGGTAACACAATCACATCACCTTCATGCTCTCCTTGTGCCCTGGCTAGGATCTCACCCTGATCAGACAGAGTTGCTCCACCCTTTCCAACAACACACGAGCAACAGGCAAAATACAAGCACCAGAATTGTCTGGTCTCTGGGGTTTTACATAGACTCTAACTGGATGCGACCTAGTTACAGGGCCATTCTCCCGAGCAGACACAAACTTCGGGCCCTTCCCTTCCTGGGCTTCAGCTGAATCCAGAACCAGCTCTGAGACAACTGCACGACCCTCAACCACCACAGGCTGCAAGGCCCCTTCTGTCTGCTCCACAGACAAAGAAGAGCCGGACACACTTTCTCCTTTCCCAGACACCCAGCTTGGGATCTCATTCCCCTTGTCCCAGCACACAAGGCTGGTCACAGACAACTGCTTGGAGATCAGGGTGGCTCCCTCCATGGGCAAGTCAATACCCCTGACAGACACAGGCACGTTTCCTTCCCTGTCCCAATTCTCCACCCAGCTAACAGGTAAGGTCCAGGGACACTCATCTTCCACTCTCCTCGCCTTCCCACCCTGCTGACTAGACACAGCCATCAGCTCACAAGGCTGCCTAGGCTCATCCAGACTCATCAAGCACCTTGCCGCTCCCCACAGATCCCCTGCCCTGCCTGTGTCTCCCCCCACTCAGCTGGGGTCTCAGCTCCCACTGTGCTCAGCGCTGCCCTTGCTGTCCCAGTGGGGGTAGGCAGCGAGCTCGCTGCTTTCCTCACTGCATCAGAGCCAGCCTGAGCCCCCTTTCCGGTGTGCAAGGGGGGCGGGGAGCCCCAGGGATCTGGTTACAGGCTGGCAGGTAGCCTGAGCCTAGCCGCTCCTCCCAGCTGCCAGCCAGGTCATCTGCATTTTCACTGACCATTTCCCTCTCCGCCGATTGGTTGCCTGGATTCAAATTCAAACCCTTGGCCGTTAACAGGAGCAGGGCCTGGATCCTGTCCCAAAGAGACACAGTCACCCCACAACAGGGTCTCGCAGCTGATGTCCTGGAGAACCCCAACGACCAGCCAGCCCCACCCCTCCTGGGTCTGCACAGGGATCTGGGCCATAGGCAGGGCGAGGGGCTTCGTCCCTGGGACCCTCACCCAGCTCACCCAGCCCCTCAGCCTCTGAGGCTGCACGACCCGGGGCCTGACACCAGTTCTCTCTGTCCCAGGATCTCGCCACCCCAGGAA